GGCTCCGGCTCCGCGGCACGGCGCGCGCCGGGCAGCCGGTGCCAACGGGCCCGGCGCCAGCGGGACGGTCCAGCCGGAGCCGCGCACTCCCTTGGGATCCACGCGGAGAGCGGCCGTGCGCGGAGGGCTCCGGGAGCGGCGCCTGGGGTGCCCTGCTCCCGGCTGCATCCCGGCGGGGCCCAACCTGCGCCGGGGCTGCCGGCAAGGTCACCCCCCCGCCAAGGGCAGGGAGCACGGCCGCGTGGGGACATATGGCCCGGGAGCGCGGGGCCGCTAAGCCGCGGAGCCGGCCCCCGCTAATCCCAGCATGGATGCGGGCGGCTCCGGCTATGCCGGGCGCCACCAGGGCGCCCTGGGACCCCCTGTGCCCCCCGGCCTGGTGGGGGGGGGGACCCCCGGGCCCGGCCGCGGTTGCCAAAGGGGATAACCCCGAAGGAGGTCAAAGGTCAAAGATTTGGGACGGGCGGGAGACACGGGTGCCGTGTGCGGGGGGGGGCCACCCGCGGGGTCACTGCGGTGCTGAGCGTGCAGGGGCTCAGGCGGGGCTGGCGGGGGTGCCCCCTCCCCGGCCCCCCCACCGCGGGGACAGCGGTTACTTCCTCCTTGGAGGATCCGCCAGCCCCGCTTGGTGCAGCCGGGAAGTGCCGGAGATGCCGGGACAGAGCCCCCCTGGAACCCCTGCGCGCCCCAAGTGCGGACCGGACCGGGGGGGGACGGGAGGGTCACACTCCCCAGCGGGTGACGTCTTAGGCGCCAGCACGGTGCCCCCTCCCACCCAACATGCCCCCCCGGGTGCCCTGGCTGCCACCTCTGCCTGGGGCATCCTGGCACCCCCGGAAAGGGGAAGCAGCAGCGGAGCAGCCCGTGCCCCCCGCGGCCCCCCCGCGGGAGGGGAAACTGGGCCACGACACCCAGCCTTGGGGGGGGTCCTGCTGCCCCACACTGGGAGGGGGGCTCCCTGCACCCTGATTCCGGGGAGGGGGGCACCCCCAGCCCCACGCACCTGGAGTGGGGAGGGGGGGGACAGGGAGCTGCTCGAAGAGGAAACAGCCTCGAAGCCGCGTTCCTGCGGGGGGGCACCTAGGAACACGCGTCGGCGGCCCCCGCCGCCCCCCCGGCCGGGGCAGCACCCCGTTATGGGGACCCGACCCGGGGGCAGGCGAGGCGGGGGGGCCGGCGCTCCCGCAACGGAGGCGCTGATCCGGGTGAGGGGCACCGCCGCTGCGGGGATGCGGGGGAGGGCAGTGCGGGACCCCCCCCGCGCTAAGGCAGCCCGAGCAGCCCCGCGCCCCGCTCCGCGGCGAGACGCGCCCGGTCCCGGTCCAACCCCCCCCCACCACCCCCTCCCCGCTAAAACGGGATCCCCGGGGGCTCTGCTCTGCCCCGCCCGCCCTGCCCCATCCCGGGGCCGAGCCGTGGCCGGCGGGCGGGGCCGAGCCCCGGAGGCGCGAGGCCGGTCCCGGGGCCCGGGCGGTGAAAGGCTCCGCTCGGTACCTGCTCGCCGAGGAGGCGAAGGCGCCGCCGCTCTCTCAGCGGCGGGCGGCTCCGGGCGGCGGCTGCATGGCGGCCGTCGGGCGGCGGCGGGGGCTCAGCGCGCCGCGGCCATGGCGGGTCATGTGCTCGCGGGGAAACTTTACCCGGGGCTGGGCCGGGCCGGGC